GGAGATTCTGACAAAGGAGCAGGCCGAGGACATAAAACACAATTTCGACCATAAGGGCCATGTTCACCAGCTGGTGACGTACTTGAACAAGTGGCAGGATGAATGCCACACCCTTACCTTTAAACAACTAGTGAGCCAACTCTGTGCATGCCCTCCTCGCTAGCCCTCGCATCTCCGAATCTCCCAGGTCAGCAGGAGCGTGAGGCACCAGCCCATGAAGCCAGTCCTGCACCAAAGAAGTGAACGCGTCGAATGTAGATGGCAAAACAACTCGGAACCTACATGAACCTGCGACATTCAGAACATGTTTCAAAAAGATCACTCACAGCAAACTACACGCATGCAACTGCATGCCTTTCTTATTTGGCCCTTCGCAGGTGCTTTCCTCTACAGTGCTTATGTTCCGCAAGACCAGGCGAACATTCATGCACCCCTTCGGCTTTGAAACTCCACACCTAGTAGTTTGGTGTGCAAAAACGTTTAAACAATCACTGAAGGCTTTCCTGACTAGGCCGTTGCCTGCATTGGACGTGATCGTGCCAGGTGCTGAGCTGCCTGTTTGTGGCTCCAGTGGTTGGTGACTGTGTAAACTCGTTAGTAGCTGCTGAGGCTTTCTTGGTGAGCTTCATACTTCTGTGCGCCAGTGCGGGAGTTCAATGCGTGCTTTAACCAGTTCTTGAGACTTTTGTTTGGTCACGCTGTGGTGTTGAATCTGAAGTGTTTTTGGCTTCAGGGGGTTGGTTTACAGCAGCAATGCCAGCTTTGAATGCTTCCGAGCCTGTTCCAAACCCTTTGGAAGGTTTGGCAGAAGCTTGGGAAAGAAACCATGACCTGCGGAAACAAATTCAAGATGAAAGAGCGCTTGTGTTTTGGCCGGAAACCAAACTCGTGGGCATCATCAGTATGCAGGCGCTGAAGGTGAATGTGGACCTTTTGAATAATGCGGCTTCACTTTGGGTACCCAAGCAGACCACACCGAAGACCCTGCCTGTTGGATGGTTGAAGGTTGAGGCGTGGGGTTGCGCGTGTCGATGGTTGCGCTTTCTTCAATGTGATGGTGTGACCTGCTCTGGTTGAATTTGGTCCCTTCAGGTAAGAAAGCTTCGCAGCAAGCTGCGGTTGAGCTGCAAACCAGCACAGATTCACTGCGATGCTCATGCAATCAAGTCCTTTTTCTCTTTACTCATCCGCCGTCACGATGGACATACTCGCAGGGTCTCTTGGACAAGTCAAGATTGAACAATTGTGTTTCCACATGCTTCCATCCGCTCGTATGAGCTTCACGCGTTGGCATATAAGGACCCAGATTTGAAGGTGTTGTTCGACGACGTACTTGGGTCACACTGGCCTCCAAAGATCTCAAAGAAGAAGAGCTCTGAGTCTTGCACTAGCAGTGCGCCTGACAAGTCTGAACAGCTCGCTCAGGACTCTCCTCAGGACTCTCAGGTGGAGGATGATGGTTCCAACGAAGCTCTTGTGGAAGCTGACGGGTATAGCAGCGGGGAAACCACACCACCTCCGTCACACGCGGGCGAAGAGCGCGAACTCTTGGCCTGGACTCTGGGGGGTGACCTCAAAAGCGCGTCAAGCCCTTTGGCCAAATGCTTGTCTCCAGGTTTTGGAGGTAAACGTTTGGCTGATGCGCCACCTCCTGACTCTGATGAATGGATTGCCATGCGCCTTGCGGAGCTGGAGCTCCCCGGCAGAATCCACAGTCTGTAGGACTGAGGTTTTGACATTTGAGCAGGAACTGGAGATGCGCGCATGCATTCTTGTCTGTCTGAGGTTGCAGATGGTGGAGCGTCAGGTGGCAGTGGCTAAGAAGACTGTGCCAGCTTCTTGGGGTGGCCCCGCCCTGTTTGTTTTGTGTGGTTTTGGAGTGTAGGTGAAAGGCTGGGGGGGGCATTTGTGCAGTGTGCAGGGGGACAGCATGTCTTCGAGAACATAGAGACTTTGCCTTGGGATGGCGCTGGTTTGGCGGAGACTCTCAAAGGCCAGTGCCCATTTCTGTAAAAGCCGAATGTTCAACGATGCTCCACTTCCAGTTCTCCTCTATGGAGCTGAGGTGAACCTGAAGCTTCAGGCGAGGACAAGCTCCTCACTGCAAAGACGCTTGTGCTCGGCGAGGTAGAGGAGGCACCAGCAGATGGCAGCGCTGAAACTCGACAGGTTGCAAAAGCACCCAGCGTTGAATGTCAGTCAGACCCGAAGGCTGTCCAGGAAGCGTCTCCAGATCCGCAGGTGGTGGAGATCCCCGCCATTTCATCGACAGGAGATGAGACTGGACGCCACCAAGTCTCTTCGAGTCTGGCCAAGGTTGAGCCAGAAGCGCCGCCTCGTTCCTGCGCTGGTGACAAGCGCATTGCTTCCGCTCAAGAACTCTTGCTTGACGAGGTACGCCCCTGTCTTTTGTTGATGCACGTTCTTTGTGAAGAATTTTCTGTCTAGTCTATTGTCTTCATTGATCCTGGCCAGGTAGACATGGACCGGGCCATGCAAGATGAAATGCGTACCAAGATGTCTGGGGGAAGAAAACCAAAGCAAGGACAGGATGGAGAGGATGGGTCTGATGATGACATGCCTCCCTTGAAGCGCCCGGCTGGAAAGTCTGCTGGAAAGCCCAGAGCCCCACGAGGGGAAGCAAAGGCCAAGGCCAAAGGAAAGCCGAAGCGAGTCGAAGACAAGAAGAATGGGGCTCGCGAGACTGATGCTGATGTGGAGAAGGAGGAGGGTGGGAAAATGACACCTAAGGCCGCTTGCAAGCGGAAGGCCAAGAGAGGCCATGAAGACAAGGCGGATGAAGAGCGGGCGCAGCTGCAGTACTTGTTAGAGAAGTACGGGGGCGAGATGGGCAAAGGCAAGACCAAGAGACAGGCGAAGGACTCAAGCGCAACGGCTGAGAAGCCACCGTGCAAGAAGAACAAGAAGGAACATGAGAAGGCAGATGAGAAACCGAATCCCACAGCATCCTTTGCCCGGCGGTACCAGCCCAAGAACCCAGTCAAAGCCCAGTGGTGGCTCGCTCTCCGTTCAGCCTTTGCCTCACACGTCAAGAGCGTGTTGAGCCCTGCCAGCCACCTGGAGGACCAAAGTTTGTCATGTTTGTTTGTCATGTTTTGTCATGTTTGTCATGTCTCCGGTTGCGTTTGTCATGTTTGGTGCGTTTGTCATGTTTGGTGGGCCTTGGTCGCTTGTCACTTGTCCAGGACCCCTTCTGGAAGTTCTGTAGCCCACGGTTCAATGTGATCGAGGAGAAGGCTGGCCCAGACGCTTTCTTGGCTTTGGCGGAGGAGTGGGCCACGGAGTTTGTGACAATTCAGCAGCGTGTCTTCTGACTGCACTCTACATTAGTTGACTTATTTGTTCTCAACCTCCACTCAAATTTCAAGTCACACTGATCACAATCAACCTGTTTTGGAACATCATGCCCTGCACTGGATCGGTCCTCAGGTCTGATCGAGTGGATGACCGTGCCAAGCGCTGCCTGCAGGCGGTGATTTGTGACTGGGGCGCATGGCATGCCAATTTGCCATGCGCGAGACTAGTTTGGATCCTGTGTGCCTTTCACACGGGTGGGTGGCACATAATGTGGGATTCCACCAACAGGGGTTTGAGCTGCAAAAAA